TTTGACCTTCATTATTTTATCCTGTTAGACATTTGTGTCAAGTTTGGTCAGAATTAATGTTTGAATTCTGGAGTTGTCCAGTTGACCACTGAAATCTAATCACCTAATTGTTGAGTCCAAGTGGACGTTTGTGCCAAATTTGAAGAATGGCCCTCAAGGCCTTCTTCAAATATCAGGTTCACCAGAGTGAAAAGGACACATGGTCACACTGACCTTTGACCACCAAATTCCAAACAGATCATTCTTGAGTTCAAGTGGACATTTGTGCCACATTTAAAGAAATTCCCTTGAGGCGTTCTTGAGATACCGTGCTCACAAGGATGGGGACACGTACACAAATGCCCTGCTGGACGTTTGTATTAAGTTTTGTCATAGTTAGTGTATGAATTGTTAAGTCATGGCCAAAAACATATTTTGTGGGGTCACACTGATCTTTGACCACAAAATCCTATTCAGTTTATTCTAGTCCAGGTCGACCTTGGTGTCAAATTTAGAGAAACTTTCTGAAGGTGTTTTTGAGATATCACCTTCACGAGAATGAGGCAGATGCAAGGTCACAGTGACCTTGAAGTGACCTTGACCTTTGACCACTGAAATCTAATCAGTTCATTGTTGAGCCCAAGTGGACGTTTGTGCCAAATTTAAAGAAACTCATTCAAGCTGTTCTTAAAATATTGCATTCATGAGAATGAGATGGATGCAAGGTCACAGTGACCTTGACCTTTGGCCACCAGAATCTGTTTGTGCCAAATTTTGAGAGTGATCTTAAGATATCATGTTCACAAAAATGGATCAGACTGATGGATTTTCGTACAGATGTATGAACAAACTGGAAACATAATGCCTTTAGCCACGGCTAGCGCCAACAGGAGGAAATAAAGACTTTGTTGGGGACTATTTTCAGTGGCGGATTAATCCACATTTGCTGGTGTCAGCGGGATGGTGTGTGAAGGTGTCAAAATAACCTACAGTGTGTGTGTTCATGGTGATGAAGGAACAGTGATGTGTTTTTATGGCACACAGGAAGAAGATGGCTGCTGATTGACTCACTGGTGGTTTTGGTTTCTTTGGGATTTAACGTAAAGAATAAAAACGTAGACTATCACAATAACAACTGTCCTGTAAGAAAAACACATGTTAAAATAATAATTTCATCACAGGACAACAGGTTAAACTTTCAGGCCAACATCAACAATCAGAAGCAGCTGAGGTTAAAAACATCTGAAGGAGAAACACAGCGAGTGCGAGGAGAACACAGCATTCAGTTATCGTGAGGAGAAGTGCCCACAGGTGAGTTTTGGGAGTGATGGGGTCAAAGCAGGAGGAGCGCCCCGGCAGAGAGGGGAAACACACAGAGGAGAGGAGTCAGGTTCATCCTGCAGAGACACAAACACACAGTCAGCACCGGCAGGTTCGTATCAACAACAGCCAATCAAATACAATCATGTTCAGGGACAGAGTGCAGAGCAGGAACTGTGAGGGTTCAACATGCTGCTCATCACCGACTCATCCTCTTCCTGCACTTCAACTCTAAGAAATAAACCTCCCGAAGAGTTCAGGTGGGTTCAGTCAGTTTCTCAGGTTCTCTTCTTCTCTGAAGTCATTTGGTGTGTGTTACATGTGGAGTGTTTCATACTGTCTGTGGAGATCTGCAGAAGATCATCAGCCAAAACAACAAAACCGCTGACAGTCCGACATTTAGTCACAATACGATGTTCTGCTGTGAAACTTTTGGTCCTGATGTTCATGTGGACGCCACCTGACAGGCTCCACCCACCTTAACACTGTTACGGACCAAGTTAACCCCCTCATGGCAACAGCACTCCCTGAAGGCATGAAGCCTCATTTTGTCCAGCAGCTCATCTGTTTTATTAGATATTCTAACAGTAACCTAAATGATTAAGATTATGTTCATTTATAAACTTTAACTTTGTACAAATCACTGTCAAAATATAATTTTACATTTGGTCAAACAGAGATGTTTCTGTGGGACGATGAACCAGAGTTAGATACTCAGAGCTACATGTAATAAACGGACAGAGCAGCAGCGTCGCCTGTTAACATGCCGCAACATAAAATGCAAGAGAGGCTCTGATTGGCTGAGGGAACTGTTGGAGCGAGAGGATTGGCTGGGGGAGTCAGAGGTTGATGATGTCACACAGGCTCAGTCCACCTCACACTGTACCTCTGTAGTGCGGCTCCACGTGGTAACTGAAGCGCCGGTCGATGCAGTAAACACCTGGAAGCAGAGAGGAAAGGTCCCGAAAGGTGAAAATAACACAAACAAACAAACAAACAAAACAAAACAAAACAAACAGAGAAAAAAAAGTTCTGAAAGGTGAAAACATAAAAAAAATAAATAAATAAAAAAAAGGTCCTTAAAGGTTTTCAAGATTTCTGCGTTTTCCGTTACAAGCACAGAAGATCATTTATGTCCCACGCCATCAACATTTTGATATCAACACATATGATATGAAGCAGCCTCCTTCATTCATGGTTCTGATGATGTCACTCGCAATTAACAACCCCGCCCCTTTTACACGAATGTGCTCATGGCTGATTTTTTTTCTTTTTTTAATTTTATATACTTTATTAATCCCCCTGAGGGGAAATTCAATTTTACAAGGTGCGGACACACCAAACCGACATCAAAGAACTAGCGGCGACGAAAGCCAACTGTCGCGTCGTCTACGTCGCCTCACGTCGCCCTGTGTCAGTTGCATTTGAACACACTACACGGACTACATCCGACGGCCAAGTAGCACGTACGTTCTGCGCCTGCGTGAGAGAGAGCGGAGTGAGAGAGTGGTACATCCTGTCAGCCGAGGGGTTTCCTATCTGTGCAGCCGAGCACCGCAGCACCTCCACGGACTATTACATCCAGACGGTCCCGGTGTTTCCTCCGCAGGCTCCACTTCACTCAGCTGCCCGATAAACCCGCTGCTTCTTCCCA